AGGGTGTTGTTTTACATGACCACTGAGGAATTTTAACCAAAGTATGTTGCAGACCGTTCATGAAGACCCTAAAGAATCATACCAACTTGTGGAAGATCAATGTCCCCTTTGAAGCACAGCCACCACAAAATCAGACTTACTTTGAGATCATTCTGAGGTTAAATACATATTTAAAATCATAACAATAAATATTTTATTAGTTATGATACCGTTTTTGAAATCAAATCTTTACATAGCTATGACAGTAAACACTGGAATCTAACAATGCCTTGGAAAAAAACTGTTAATCTTTAAAAAATGAAGCATAGCTATATATAAACCCATATAGGAAATAAAAGAGTTATCGAATAAGCTTGTTCTAAACTCCTGAAACATTGGTGTTTCATATTTTAGAGCAGTCACTGCAATTTATGAGAGAAATCAATTAAATCTGTATGTGGGAGTGTGTGTGAAAAAAAAAAAACAGATGTAACCCCCTTTGTAATCCTTAACGTTTTCATAAGTAACTGTAATTTAATTACACATTTTTTCTCAGTAAATGTAACTGATTACAGTTACTTTTATTTTGAAGAGCTTGAACAAGGAGTTGTGAAGCATGTTCCGAATGAAAGGGCCTGATATTCTTGATGTTGAATAAAGCAAATTTGCAGGACTGGGTAGTTTTAGCAATGTGGTCTGAGAAAGTCATCTGATCATCAATCACAACTCCAAGGTTTCTGGCTGTTTTTAAAGGAGTCTTGGTTGAAAAAGGGTTAGTCCAGCCAAAAAAAAAAATCATGTATTTAAACTCACCTTCACACCATTTCAAATCTATATGACTTACTTTCTTTTACAGAACACAAAAGAAGAACAATGGGGTCCAAACAACTTTCATGAGCAGACAAAAAACACAGAAAGAAAAGCAGTACTGGTTTGGAATGACATACAGGTGAGTAAATGGCAGAATTTTCATTTTTTGGGTGACAATCCCTTTAAATCAAATTAGTGACAAAACAGAAACAGAGGTGTCCAAAGTCGAAAAAACTAAAACTAGTGAAATTATGTCAGCTATAAAATATGAACACCACAATAATCCTCAATGATCTCTTTCATTGATCTTTTGTCCCTTTGGACCAGGGCCATTCTTTAATGTAAAGTCTCTGAATGTTTCACTTTGTGGGGTCTTGACAGAGGCTGCAATCAGCCCTCTCGTCCGCCTGATGCTCCAGTTGAATGGTTACTGAATGGAAACTGTATGTTGTGAAACAGGCCTGGGTCATTTCTCTCAACACCGCCTGTGGCTCTACGGTATCATCTGAGGAATTAAAAATGAACAGATGGTTATAAACTCATGTCTAGGGTTAATATTTCAGAAATATGATTTTGCTATAGGCTATATGCTAATAAATGCCACACAGATTCTATATGGAGTTAAAAGTGTTACCTATAGCCACGTGAGCGGAGAGCACAGCCTGGTTCATTGTCAGGGCCCAGATGTGAAGGTTGTGCACAGCTTTGACACCTTTGACTCTGAGCAGTCGTTCTCTCACCTCATTATAGTTCACACCAGCCGGCGTACCTGTGGAGGAGAAATTAAAATCCTCATGTTCCAAGAAATGTTTTAATGAGAATAAGAAATTCAGAGGACATGAAAAATGAAATCGTCCATAAAATGCCTAGTGGCCAATAAAACAGCTAATATTTATTTATAGATACTTATATTTAAGATTTTCCTTCAATTAATTTACCAGTCGAAAGTCAAAGACATACCTACTTATTCATTATTATTCTATATTTAATAATAATAGGTAACTCATGACAACTATGAAATAGCACATTGGAGGTATGACAAATTTGTGGTGAACAGAAATGTAGAAATTAAACTAATCAAAACTATATGACGGTTATTATAAGTGAGTCACTGAATTCACTCAACCGTTTTGTTCAAAGACACTGATTCACTCAGGAACAAAAACAATGATGTCATTATGAGTGAGTCAGCCATTCACTTAACCGATTCGCTCAAAAACACAGGAACGAAACACCATTATTGTAGATGCACAGAAATAACAGATTCTCTTTCAGCTTCGTTTAGGACTATTTTCATTGGCAGAACTAACATAGACAAAGTACTGTAACTTTGGGTGTTTTCACACTTGAGTACACTTTAAAAGAATTGAACCCAGACCCCTTTAAGTAGACCAAGAGGTGGACCAAGAGAAAAAGTACCCAGTTTTCTTTACGTTCACACTGTCCCTGTTCCTGAAAGAGGACTCAGATCCTTTTTTGGTCCACTTAAGCAGTAATGGTGTCTCAGACTTTGTGTTCAGACTGTTGCTTTTTGGATCTAGTCCAGTTCAGTGTATGATGGTGACCCTATATGGATTCCAAAATTTGTTTCTATTTTACTTACAATGTGCCTCACTTACCAAGAGATTTATTTGATTTACAAGATTATTGTTGTTGTTGTTAGTATTATTATTTTGTAAAACAACTTTGCTACAAATACTGTTGAATAAGCTTATCTTTGAACATGGAATATTCCTCTAAAATATACAAAAATACAAAATATACAGAAATATAAGTTTTGTACACCTTTGTAAATAATATTTATTTTGAATTGTTTTCCTTGTTTATGTGATCATGTTTATTTTATAGCACAAGGCATTGATTACATTGAGATAAAGTAAATAAAAGAAAATATAATAAACTGCTCTACATTTTTCAGGTACAGTAGATAGATACCCTTAAAAGCAGCATTCAAATAAGACATGGAATAATTAAATGTAAAAAGTAAAACAGCATGTTAATCGTATGAATAATAGATTCTACTGATTCTCATATTAGGCTGCTGGACTAGAACTACTGTAGCCTAATGCACAGATCAGTATATTGATACACATGCGATTTTTCCCCCCAGTTTACATTTGATAGAGACAAAACCAACAGTGTGTATGTATGTATGTATGTATGTATGTATGTGTGCATGTGAACTAGGGTGTTTTTGACAGTTCAGTAGATTTAAAGAGAGTATAGGCTACTCGCTACGTAGTTTAGCCGCCGCTGGGTCGTGCGCTCTCGTAAAACGTATCAAAAGTTTAAACTGGCCAGGCGCACAGCCGCATCTCTCCACTGTTCGGAAGCGGTTGAAATTAAAATAAACGAGTGCACGTTGTGAGCGAATAATTTGTAGAAATCTGCCAGAAGAAGCAGCCATTATGAACAGCTGATTTGTACGAAGACATCTGATGAAAATGGAAAAATCAAGTGAGCCCAGGCCGATTTGTGTTCACAATGCACGTTTTTAGCGAACCGTACTCAGACCACCTCCCGAGATGGTCTCGGCTCGGTTCGCTTCTGAGGGGTGTGAGATCGTTTGGAGAGTTCACATATGGGCCAAAAATCACGCGAACCACGCTCAGACCCCTGAAAAGGACCAAGTGTGAAAACACCCTAGACAAACAATATTAGCCTATGTCTAATATTATGTCTGTAAGTTACTAGGCTTTAACTTGTAAGTAAACTTTAAGTAAACATATTAGCTTCTTTAAAGTCACCACTCTTTGCCTAAATTATAATTTCTGAAGCATAACTGAAACAGCAAAAACCACAAGTAAGACTTCTTTACCTTCCATTAGGACAATAATTATGTCCCTCATGATAGTGAATGTGGTGCCCAGGACAAATAGAGAAAACAGGAAGGTGCAGATGGGATCTGCAATTTTATATTCAGGCTATGAAAAGAAAAGAATTCAGTTAATTAGAATTATGCCATCAAATTGCATCTATACTTATCATTATCTGCTACACTATCACAATAAAATGCATTCACACAACACCAATATTCTTTCTTAACTGCCTATTTTCTGCTCTATGTCTATATGACAAACAGATAGCCACTGTTCATTGTTACTTTTATGTTAAATAGTGCTGGTTCATCCGTTAGGACTCACCAATGCTAATAACCTCTGATCTTTTACCTTAAAAAATATGATGAGCGCGCTGACAAGCACACTGACACTCTGTAGAAGGTCTCCAATCACATGGACGAATGCTGCCCTGACGCTAGCATTAGCTTGTTGTCTTTTACCAGACCCATTCTCCTCTACGTCACAATGGTTAGCGTTAGAATGACTGTGGCCGTTTTCCTTCCCATGGTCGCAGGGGCGTAGCCATCATTTCAGAAGTGAGGGGGACAGAAATGTTATATATAAAAAAATTTAAAAAATACATTACAATATAACATTTCTGTAATCTATGTAACCTACCAGTCAACAGTTTTTGAACAGTAAGATTTTTAATGTTTTATAAAGAAGTCTCTTCTGCTCACCGAGCCTGCATTTGTTTGATTCAAAGTACAGCAAAAGCAGTAATGTTGTGAAATATTTTTACTATTTAAAATAACTGCTTTCTATTTGAATATATTTTAAAATGATTTCTGTGATCAAAGCTGAATTTTCAGCATAATTACTCCAGTCTTCAGTGTCACATCCTT